CTTCACAATTAAAACATACAATTGATAATAGTACACAAGCCATACAAAACGAATATGCAGAATAATCATAAACAGACTTCAGATGTAGCCTGGTCTTACCACGCCATCTGACTAATTTCTTTTCGTACCAAAGTCTGGATTTGCTCCATTGACTCTGTTAACAGGTGGAAGGGGTTAACTCCTTTTGCAGATTGAAACGAGTGAATCTGAGTTTGTTGCGACATATGTAATGTATTTAGCATTTAGCCTAGCTTTAGCCATCTCATTTGACACTAACATAGCCCGTGGGGAGTGGAGCCACAACATCTTTGCCAGCGATGACATTTGCTAAACATTCCTCTTACTCATTCAATTTCGTGATATTTGGAGCCGAACCAGAACAGATTACTTTACTATCACGTCAAAGTTCATTAGATGTTACTAGTTCAAACAGGTCTCATGTTGTTTGTGAGTAGAACAGGCCAGCCGTGTTTGCCAAATTACAACCAGCGACTCTTGACGTCACCGACACCTCCCTACAACACCCGCCTCCTCCGCTCGCTGATTGGTCGGAGGGGATTAAACCGAGGTAGCCGCAGCCCCTAAGATCAGACCCAGACGTACATGTAGGAAATGATCATGGACTGTTTACCAACGGCTAAGGCCAGGCTACTTCAGATGGGCCTATGTACCTGAGGTGAGAATTGAGAAAGCCTGCCTAAACAAATAGGTATCTCTCTCCTCGGGTTTTATAACAAGTGCAGAGGGCCGTCGACAAGTTCTGAGAAAATAATAAAAAAAATATGTAAGTAACTAATCTTTATTTATATACCGCCTTTTCACTGCACATCGGAGTCTCAAAGCGGTTTACAATTATGATTTTTGGGAGTGGGGGTGCCAGTACAGGAGGCACATGTCAGACTTATTGTACATATTTTTTAGTGGTAGGGGAAACCGGAGCACCCGGAGGAAACCTACGCAGACACGGGGAGAACATGCAAACTTTCACACACATGTACTTTTGGCTACCGTCACATACCATACCTTCTACCTACCCTATTGTTCTCCATACACTGCACATCTATGGTTGAACTATAAAAAAGTATTCTTCAGAAACTGCAGGTAGCAATGAGGCTCTGTGTCATGTCATGGCGTGGATATATTTGTTCTCTTGTAGTTTGAGTTTGCTTACTTTCTCCTGTTGATTCTTTGCCTCGCCCTGATGTGATTCACCTGTGTGTCCCTGTGAGTATTTTTTCCCTGTGCTTTTCTCCACTTGTCCCTGTGTGTATTTATTCCCTGTGCTTTTCTCCACTTGTTGTCCTCATTGTCTTTACCTCATTTGATCCTAGCTTTTTTTCAGCTCTGGGTTGTTGTCGTTTTGTCGGGTTTCTTTTTCCATTCCAACACATGACGCTTTGAGATTAGAAAAGCCGAAATTTACACATGCACAATATTATTATCATCATACACTGCATATAGATGGGCAATGCTAAACCGCTAGCTCAATGAGGCCCAATAGGGAAGTGCTCATGGACGAAGTTTTGCTCCAACTCGTGCTGGCTCCCATTGACTCACATTGGAAAGTCTCTCGCTCAGGAACCGTTTATATCGCACCAAATCTGTGGTTCAGTGCTCTCTATGATCCTGGTGCTTACGTATTGTGATATTGTTGTCTTTGTAAACCCAGATACTACAGTGGATTACTGCGGCTTCATCCATCACAATAGTGCGCTGCAGATGGTTGCCATGGCGCCAGGATTTTTCTTGTTTTCTCAAGTATTTGCGTACTAATATAGGGGAGAAATTATAGGAAATGCTATTTGGATTTGGTTTGCATGCCTTGATATTATTTACTAGTTTGCACCATTCCTAGTTTGTGACTTTCTGCTACTTCTTGATACAAAGGCAGTAAAATAATTCTGATTCTGGTCTGACATGAGCCATGATGAGAATATAGTGGTAAAAAATGTGATGGTTTTACTTGATGTAGCGTTGGTCGAGTCTCTAAGTGCCTCCTACACCGCGAGTTTATATAAAGATGGTGCTACAACCCACACCACGGGCTGAAGTAGAAATATAGGGCACTTTACACCCATTAGATATGTTTAATGGGATGAAAACAAGTGGGGAGGGTTGGCGGCGATAAAAACAAATTGAACAATGTTAAAGATAGTTGGATGGATCGATCATATTGAAATTTACAAATGAAAAACCAACCAATAATACTAATACTATCATTTAAACTGGTAAAAAAAAGAAAGAAAGAGTCTTGTTTAAAGGTATGGGAGGATTGTCTACTTCCGGGTGGATCATCAAGACTATTGGTCCTCCCAGTTGTCAATCATTCTGGTGATACGTGCTCGTCAAATAACGAATGAAAAATAGCCGCTTGGGTAATTCTGGCATATTTACATAAATGTTCATTAATATCCACTGTCCCTGTAAAAAATGAAAAAATAAGACCAGAGAGTTTGGTTCCAAAAGTGGAGAGGGCGGTTCTTTCCTAATATCCACCTATAAACGTTCAAGTAACATACAGTAAACAAATGAGACCACAACATACTCTCTTTGTCTTGCTGAGAGCTGATTGGCTGAGTGAGGGTGGTTCTCTACTTTTCACATTTCTGTCTGAATAACCTGAAGTAACAAAATATATTAAGATTGGACTGACTGAGTGTGACATCACCGTAGTGTTAGCAGATATAGAAGAAGCCGATTTGAACATAAGCTAGCTCGAGCCCATTTCCTGACTTGTTGCTAAGACGGTTGCTAAGGCAAGCTGGTGTGCCCCCCACAAATGAAGGTATCTGATTAGTCAATATTTACATGGCTCATATCTGGATTTACAAACACAATATCACAATATAAACACCAGGATCATAGAGAGCAAGAGGAGTTTACTTTTCAATGTCAAGTCAATAGGAGCCAGAACGAATTGGAGCCAAACTTTGTCCATGAGCACTTCCCTCGCTAACAATGCCAGCCAAACTCAATCAACATTTTGTCTTCCTTCTTCCTCAGCTCTTCGTGTGGCAAACTAAAGAAAAAAGGCGAGCCCCAGTGCATTGCTTCTTTAAGTGTGTCACGTCCTTCGCCTCTTGACAGAAGGAGAAAATTAGTCCATTTCCTCCCATTATTCAGGCACCAGCTTACAGCCCATAATAACTCACTACACACTCACACGACAACATTCAAAAACAGACCGACCGCTCCATTCTCTGCGGTAAATTTCACATTCATGACATGGAAATTGCAAAAATCCAACAGAAATTCTCTTCAGTTCTCAAGGGCAGTTACTTTTCATTGCACAATCTTAAAGCTGGGATACTTAAATTTCAAACCACAACAATGGAACAATGTAACGAGACCCATGTCTGCTTCCTGGTTATAAAACAGTGTCATTTTTATGCTTTGTCACAGCTTTAACCGCCGCCAATATGCGCTGAGTCTTGTCTGAGGTTTATAGCGACTGTTTTGGTCTGATTTGACAAAAATAAAATATAAATCTGAAAAAAGGTCCTGTTTCCACCAGCCCTACTTGGCCCAACTCTACTACACTCTACTCTACCCTACCCTACCCTACTCTACCCCAATTGGAAGTGGTAGTGGTCAGAGGGGCTGATGGCACATACTGGTTGCCTCTGTATGCGTCAGGGCAGCTGTGGCTACAGTAGTAGTTTATCGCCAGGGGGAATGCTCAAAATGTTTTATATATTTTTTTTACTTTTATTATTAGTATTATGACAGTGGGGTGACAGTAGCTCAGTTGGTAGAGCATTGGCCTTAAGGCCAGAAGGTCGTGGGTTCATTTCCCACCTCTGCACCTTCTCCACCGACTCCCACTGATGACTGCTGTCGTTGTGTCCTTGGGCAAGACACTTAACCCCACTTTGCCCAAAGCTCCCACTGAAAGATCAAGGCTATGCTCACACTCAAAGAGCAGCCGTCCTCTTGTGGACTCACCACCTGCAGAGGGTCAGTGAGGGGCTGGTGCTATGAGACTTGGGTGATTGCCACCCCCCTGACCCAGAAATGGATTAAAAGGGTAGAAAATGGATGGATGGATGGATATTAGTATTATGCATATTGTAATTAATACATTGTATATATATAATTTGGTACACACACAAATGCTCTCACTCACACACAGATTTATACAGACAGACAGACACACATAATACACACACCCAACATACACACACACAGAGGCACACGAAACAAACACACACGTACACATACACAGACACACAGAGACACACGAAACAAACACACACGTACACATACACATACACACACACACACCAAACAAAGAAACACACGCACACACACACACACACTCAAAAGTTATTTCTCTCTCACACACACACACACACACATACACTCCAGCTTTAATAACAATTGCAGCAGTTTTTAGAAGCAGTTTTTAGAAGTTGTTTTAGAAGCTTATGTACTATAAACATAAGGTCTGGTCACAATATAGAGATGAGGGTCTTTAATTTAATCAGATTTTCTCTGTCTCATAGTGTAACATGTGCTCAATGTTCCATTACCTTGTTAGTATATAGAATCTTGCTATTGTTGTTTTTTCTTTTTTGTTCATTACCATTGTTGGTATATTTTCTATTACCATTGTTGGTAACTGTTGTTACAATGTAAATGTCCTTGTTGCCCGTGATAACGCCACTCTGGTATGATACTGGCTTGAACTGTAACAGTGAAGTTGATCGTTTAATCACTGAAATGGGGATATAGGGGTGGGAAATACGTTTTTTCTTCCTCCCACTCCTTTTCAGGCAGAAATATATGGCCATGTTAAACCATAGATTTTTGTTTATACATTTTTTGTTTACACTGTTTTTTTTGTTTGTTTGTTTTTTTATTGTGTTTGTCTGTTTTGTTTTTTGCTTTATATTATTTATATTACTTAATTGCATTTAATTACCTCGTTTTCTCACTTGTGCCATTGCCTGAAATAAATTAATAAATGAAATGAAATGAAATGAAGCCGTATGTATGGGATGGACGTATGGATGGACGTCAAAACATTACTCCCACATGTTCCCTTGTCCTTGGCTCGCCCAGCTCCAGCAGGTGGCGGTCCCCTTCACCTGTCACCGGCTCATCCAATCACAACCACGGGGGGCGGGGCGTGGGCCAAGAGAGAGGGAGAGACACGGGACGCGGTGCTGCTGGAGGAGTGGAACAAAACTATCCAGAAACACTTCCAGGACCGACACTCTCGCCTCGCAATCCACCCCGAAAGGACCAGCCTCGCCAAACCGGGGAGGGGGGGAGGCAGGACGCAGGACGCAGGACGTGAGGGATCCCAAGCTAGCCTGGTTTTACGCACGGCTTGGACCACTTGTTGGCACGGGTAGCCCCCAGCAGCAAGACGCAGAAGAGAAGAGACAGAGAAGAGGAGTTTGTTTTTGGCTGGCTTCTTCCTGGTGTCTGCAGCTCAAACAGCTCAAAGAGGCAAAGCTGGTGAGAAAGACGCACAAGGGGAGGTCTCCAATGCTACTTCCTGTGTCAATAGCCCCTCGATCACGCTTCTACTTTTTTCATCTTTTGACGCGACTCTAAAGTCTAAAGTTTGTGTGTTTTTCCGCGTTGGATCAGGCTGTCACATGGAGTTTCACCCGTTACCTTTACGCACAAGCCTTCAAACACACAATACTAGGTGTAAGTTTTACTACAACACGTTTGCTTTGAGCTGAAAACGTGCTATAAGCTGCCAGCCGTAGACTTTTTGACCCAAGTTTGGCTTTATTACGCGCGTATGCATCTCAAACTATGGCCTAAAAGCGTTAATATAGTTGAAATCGCCTGCTGTGTTGTTGTTTATAAACTGTCACTTGTTGCATATTTCAATAATGTTGTAATATTTCAAAAACTAGACTAGATATGTGTGCATTTCAATCATAAAGTCTGTATAAAGTCATAGCAATATTAGTCCTACCTATTGTATATAAGCAATGAATAGCTATAGTTTTCTTGCTTACCTTTATGTGCAGTGCATAGCAATAAACTACAAGTTCTTCAGGGTAACAGCATTCTGATAAAAGGCTTTGTGCTGTTTGTGATAGACTTTTTAAGTAAGCTAAATATTCCATTATTTGAAAGCAATCCGCTGTTGAAATCTACCTCCACAATCCAATGCATGTATTCTTCTGACAGCTATAGTCAAGAAGCAAAGACTGCTTTTTTTACTAAGTGGGAGGAAGATTTTTTTGTTATTTCATTTCATATTGGAGGACACTACTGCTATCCCAGCATCATCCTCACAAACAATTCATCATATAAACATTGAGGGCCCAGCGTGATGGACAAACGCATCCACAACTTCACCCCTTTTTGAACGTCCCGTCATGGAGGAGGACAAGCCGGACCAAGACCTGGCAGCCAACCCGGCCTTGGCCTGCGAGGACCAGGACGGCGAGGTGGTGTCATCCGCGGCCACGTCCTCCACTGCGTCCCCTGGTGCTGTTCCGAACGCCGAGGTGTCCTGCGCCGAACCGGCCCCTCAGATCCATCACAACAAGCCATTCACGCTGCGCATCTTCGGGAGGAGGTCAGTGAACGCACCGCACACAGGGCACCTACTTCATGGTCCTACGCTTTTAGAGGTAAAAATAGGTGAATGTGCCACAGCAGAGGTCTTTCTTTATCTGTGGTTCCCTTTCAGATACTTCTAGCTTTATAGATAATGAATTGGCGAGGTTTGTTTACCTTTTACTATTTTTGCTGTGATTATTTATGATTTTAATGCCTTCTGTGTTTGTTTCTATCTTTTTTTTTCAGCGCTTTGACTTACCTTGTGTATGAACAGTGTTATACAAATAAACTAGCCTTTCTTTGCTTTGCTGTAAATGTATAACTCCTTAATTCAAGGAGATTTCTGTAAAAGCAGCATCGCAAAAGCTGACAAAACGTCACTGAAAAGACTAAACAGAAGTTTGCATTAAAAAAATACTTTGTGCATTAGGGATCGAACAATTAATCAAATCTATAATCTTTTTTGTTTTTTGGTCAAAAAAACCAAACAATTAAAAGAACTAGAACATTTTACTACTCTACACACATACACCAAGAGTGATCCATCATACCCACTGTTTAGGCGAATCATTTGTACCAATACATTTAGAATATGTATTTTAAAAAGCATTTTGTACAGGGTTTTCTTTCTGGACACTCCGTACTTTGGGATGATAAGATACTACTGACTGATGGGGAAGCGAGGCAACAGTGTGTACTGTAAACACACCAGACTTAAAGGCAATGTGGGTGAAGTGTCTTGCCTAAGGACACGACAACAATTTGGGACTTTCCAGCTGCAGCCGCCCCACTGTGGCACCCGGTGTTCCCAGAGGTCTCCCATCACAGAACTAACAAACTATACAATGTCTACAAATACATTGATAGTATTGTCAAGTTACTTTCTACTACTACTACTTAAACTTAAAATAAAATTCTCCCACATCACATGCACAGAGCTAATTTTAGATAATTCAATTAATGTGTTGTACCGACATGTCGCTGAAGGTGACAGTCGGATGTTGTTATACTTTTAAGCTATTCTAAATATCAATCATACTTTTCTTAAAATATGTATCAGATTTGCTGTTATGACGATCAAACAGATACGAGATTTCTCAAGTGGTTGAAATGTGATCAATGGAATCTTCTGCTGTAGCTTTGGTATTTTTTTCCCCAGATATTCTAACTATTAAAGGTATATAGGAGGGTTTTCTACTACCGGGTGGATCATCATGCTATTGGTCCTCCCAAATGTCAATCATTCTGGTGATACGTGCAAATAAGACCAGAGCATTTTTATCAAAAAGTAGAAAGTTAGAGCGGTTCTTTCCTACAATTTGGGAAAATCCTATATACTTTTTATTTTTCAGCTGTTGTTTTATAAAAAACCCTTTCAAAAATGTATTAGTCATCAGAAAATGGTATTATTAGTCTATCTATTAATGCCACTTTTGGTTGACTAATGCACTTTTGAAAATGTGTTATTAACTTCCAGTGGTCCCCAAAAACAGGTTTTGAGTTCAGGAGGTTAGAAAAAAAGTTTGTGTGCGGGGTTTTACAACCTTAAAACATATCGCTGCTATTTTACCGATTTTGCTCATTGCAGGTTATTTTTAGAACATAACCCCGCGATAAACCAGGGACCAATGTGTTGACTCCTCCCGGCCTTTTGTAAATTGTGCCTACACTACTTTGTGCTGGTGTTGTATGAGTCGCAGTGTTGTGTGTCTAGAATGACTCTGCTCCTCTGTATCATGGGGAACCACTCGCTGACTTAGTAATCATCTGCTGTTGCTATTTTGGTCTTTTTTATGGTTTTACACGTATGCTCCATGCTGCTGAGCGAGAATGCACTCTTTAAAGTTGTGTTTTGTCTAGAGCTGCTTCTAAGCTGATAGAAACTTATTTTTGTTTTTTATCTGGTTAAGGCCAGAGAATATGTAATTGTTAGTGGATAAAAATGGTTATTAAAAAGTTTGGCCGACATTGGGAAACAACATTATCCGTGGAAACCCTGACATTACTTTATTTAACTTTGATTATTGTCCTTTTTAAAATAGAAAATACATTACTTGCTGGACATTTAAGAGCACTTGTCTATAAACGACACAAGCTACATTTGAAAATAATGTACATGTTGTCCACATAGGCCGCACTTGAATATAGGCCGCACTTGAATATAAGCCTCATGTTTTCATGTTGTAGTGTAACTTAACCAAACAGAGCAATAACTGTTTTAACTGGACACTAATGTTTCAATGTTGAGGTTTTTAAACGCACTGTGGACTCATGATCAAAGCAATCCAGTTTATTTTGGACAATAAAATGTGTCCCATCACTACTAAAAAGTGCATAAAGTCTGCTCTGACAACAGCCCGGATCACATCAAACAACAACACAAGATAAAAACGATCACACAAGGCATTTATATCTTAGATAGTCACAGTACAGGAAAAGAGTGAAGATACAGTCCTTCAGTTGTATAAACAGCTTAGCAGTTTTTAACCTGGATTTGAACACTGTCAGAGTAAAAGCTTGTCTCACATTTTCAGGAAGACTGTTTCAGATTTCAGGTGGTGCGAGGCCACGGAGAGACTTGACCAGAAGCCACCCTGGTGCAATCCTCGGGTCAAATGTACATGCCAAAAAATAAGAATGAAAGAGCTCAAGTTTGATTTTTCCTACCTTGACCAGCCCATGGTCATTAAGAACCTGATTTAAGATATTTTTATTCTACTTTTAGTCACTGTAGCAAGTCACACAACCTGAGGGCAGCACAAGTTTATAGTCTATTCTCTGAGCGACAGTAAGTCTGGGCAGAGACCTGAGAACAGGTCTGATGTGTTGGGTTATAGTCCAGCAAGTACTGTGAATACAAATAAATGAGCTATAATCATTTTTATCATGATTTTCTCTGTTACTTTAAAGGAGCTAAACCCGTTTCTGCAAGGTTTGACTGTTTAGCACCGCCCCCCAACTCGCTCACAGGCTTCTCATTTCACCTACGCTCTCATCCCAACTTAAGCTGTACAACAATCACTGAGAAATGGTACAAAAGCAACGCACTGCTAACAAAATATATAACTGAAAGATTACCGCTAGTTTCACGTCCGAATGTAGTCCGAGCATAGATAGTCCGAGCATAGATAGTCCGAGCGTAGATAGTCCGAGCGTAGATAGTCCGAGCATAGATAGTCCGAGCGTAGATAGTCCGAGCGTAGATAGTCCGAGCGTAGATAGTCCGAGCGTAGATAGTCCGAGCGTAGATAGTCCGAGCGTAGATAGTCCGAGCGTAGATAGTCCGGGCGTAGATAGTCCGAGCGTAGATGGTCCGAGCGTAGATGGTCCGAGCGTAGATAGTCCGAGCGTAGATAGTCCGAGCGTAGATAGTCCGAGCGTAGATAGTCCGAGCGTAGATAGTCCGAGGCGGTCCCGCAGGTCTCTCCCATAGACAAGTCTCTCCAGAGGATACGATGTAAGCTAGCTATGTTCACCCGGGCTTGATTTCATCTTTGATCATTTTTTGGCTTTAGTTCCCTCTTCTCTTCTTCACTGTTGTGTCGTTTGGGCTGTTTTGCTGTGTCTGCAGTTACAGCCAGAGGAGTTATAGCCACTTATGCTAACATGCTACTGTGTTTAGCAGCGCTGTAGAGGCTAGAGGACGCAGCCTTGCTCTGTGATTGGAGGAGAACGGGCGTCACGCTAAAGTCTCTACCCAGCAATTTTTACGGCCTGAATTCATACACAGCTGAATCAATGAACTCAAAGTTTCAATTAAATTACGGATTATAATACAACTTGTATGTAGTAATAAGCATTTTTATGAACTCATTAGAAAATAAAGCCGGTATAGCATCTTTAAAACCTGCTCAGTCATGAAACCTCTTCTCTCAGTTTATGTCATGGTTTTTAAGGTGTGTGTATTATTATTCCAGTCCTTCTACTCAAGGTACAGCAATGACATGGCTCCGTCAGTGCGTGTTACATAAGGAGTGTGCAAACCAATGCATGTGATGTTGTGGGCGATTTGGACATAAATGGGTATCTTTGTGTTCGTTGGGTGTTTGCCAAAAACAATTTTTAAGCAGAATGTCAATCCACCAGAAATCTGCTCAAGATGTCTTTCATCATCAGGCATGTGTGAACAGTTGGTACCGTTTTCCTCTTTTTTTGCAGCTTTTTTACAAACATTGTTGGTTTTGTTTTCACTTCATTTGTCTGTTACCTGTGTGTAAACTTTCAGTAAAAAATCTAATATTTGTTTTTATGTTTTAAATGGTTAAACCGGGCAAAATGTGCTAAAGTTCAAGTTCTATTAATACTTTTGATGAGCGCTCAAGAAGTGTGTGTGTGTGTGTCATATTTAGCTTCCCTGTTGATAAGTCATCTTTGTGTGATCATTTGTGAGTCACGGTGCTGAGTGGCCCATTTACTATTCCCCTTTCTGAGAAACGCTCATAACACGCTTTCATAACAATAGTAATAAATAATGAAATTATTAACAATAGTAAATTTAGGCACTTTTTGATGAATACATTTTTACCCACTGGCACAAGGTAATGATGGCGCGTATGCGGAGTGAGGTGGAGCTGTTATCCGGCCCTCTCCCTCTAATTATAGCTGCGTTTAATGGATTGGCGGAGAAATTAATTACGCTACACCACTTCTCACGGGTCGGTCGGACTGTGGGGGATTCCGGCGTTTGCGGGACAGAGGTAACGGGTGCGTCTGATGTGCGTGTGCAGGAATGGATCAAAAGCGGTGAGTAATAGCATTATTAATGTCTTTTAAAATTGGCTGATGCGTGTACAATGTCCTCGACTGAACAGAAATAATATTTACAGTAAGTATTCATCGGTGCAAGTCCTGAGAGATGTCTGAAAATTCCAGACATTGTATTATAGGTTCACCTCAACCATGAACGATAAAATAAAAAGAAAAATTAGATAAAAATGCAAATGATGGTGGAAAATAAGGAGATCATTTGGTGCGTTTTGCTTTTTGGTGTTATTTCAGATCGAGGGTATGTAATGAATCTGTATGGGTCTGTTGGAAAGAATGTCACGCCTTATTTTTGGTGTTTTTACTTTGTCATTCCAAGTTTTCGAATGTGGAATAATAGCTTCAGTTGAAAATGTATGGTAAGCAAGGGGCAAGGGTAAACAAAGCTAATGGTTTGCCCTATCCCTATGCTGCCACCAGAGGGACCAGATTTGTTGTATGTTTCGCTTGAGAAATTGCCTAAACTTATTCATGGGCACTGCTTTTGTTCAAAACAGAAAACTACTGAGTGTGATGTCAGTGGTTCACTTGGGCTTTTAGACAGAAGGGGCGGAGCTATATCTTTGTGTCAGAAGTTCCTGATATTAGCGTAGATGGATCTAAAAAAAACCTCTCCCCGCGACATGGCAACAGATGAAGGAGGAACAATGTTATAACATGGTGTTAATCTATTTTGAAATTAAAAAGCCTTGTTGCTAGACGTCAACCTGGATGGAGTCAAAATAATCAGACCATAAATCTGCTCTGACAAGTCATATATATCACATAAAAACAGTCCTGTGTGTTTCTTTCACTGTTTGTGTCTCTCTGCTGTTCACATAAACATAAAAGGCTGATAGTGCAGTTTCCATACTCTACCACAAAATAAATACATACAGTGGCTATATTGTCTACAGGATTTAAGGAACTTGAAAAAGGTAGTCAGGCCAATATAGTAGTTGTATGTACAGTGTATTGCTCCAAAGGGGTGTATGGTCAGAGAGTGTTGAGAGTGGGCCTGTGTTATGTCGAGTGTGGGCCTGTGTTATGTCGAGTGTATGTTGCGTTTTGTTGATTGAGTGAGGGGGGGTTGGAGGCTAATAAGCGTCTTGATCCAGCTTCTTTTTCGAACTGTTTATTTCTGTGAATTTTGTGTCTGGTTTTATTGTTTTAATTTAGTTTTTTAGTTCAATTTTGCGTAACGTTTGAAACATAATTCTTGCTAGGAGGACTTCTACTACCAACATAATAATGGTCCAAACTGGTAAATATGTGTCACACGGCATACGGCTTGGTGGGCTGTTCTAAGGTAAAGTCTGAAGAGATAATCTGGCACACTTTGGCCGAGTGACCTTTGCGGCGGTCAGGGGGGTGGTGATGTAAACAATGTGTCTGAAGGATAATGCGCCCATGGGATTACGTTGGTTTTGTCACCCATGAGAGCTACTTGACATTTGGTAGAATTTCCACACAGATCAGCTGTGAGTGTGGTTTTCATCAGATTACACCAGAGTTTTCCAACCAGTGGGCCGTGGCATCTTGGTCTGCCTCGAGATGTTGTGTGGTGTGATTTTGGAAATTATACAATATGGTCTAATTGGTCAAAATAATGAGATTAGAAAACTTTTTGCTCTGCTTTGCTTTTCTATTCAATACTCTAAGAGTTTTTCTCCATTGTCCATATAGGCTGTAGAGTTTGGTATTTTATCAGTTTAATCTGGTGGTTTGCCATCATGTGATAAGTTTTCAATGAGAGAGGAGTGCCATACCTCAAAAAGGTTGGGGAACACTGGGTTACACCGTTCTTGCTGGCCAGTGTTGGAAGTAATGGGTTACAAAGTAATGTAATTACTGCTGTAATGCGGTAATGAAAGGCATTCCAAAATTAAATTATGTTTTGTTTTTAAACTATGCCACTGTAAGATCAGCAGAGGAGGAACAATCTGTGCTAATTGTAGCCGCCTTGAAGTTTTTTGTTTCTTTCTGGTAGAAGACGGCTGAAGCTGAAGCAGAAGCG